ACATTCTCAACGGGAGAAAAAACAACCATAAAACAAACACAAAAACACACGCAACAAATGAAAAAAAAAACACACACACACACACAAAAAAAGAACCAAAACACGAGCAAAGCCCTCCCAACAACTGACAATAACTGTGACACAACACCATACAAGACGAGAGCCAATCACGACACCTCCAGGAAACACCATAGCTCGGGACGCAACCTATCCATTCCCTTCACCAAGATATGACGGCTATACCACAAATCCACCCCGAACGAGCCAATGGCACCCCTTGGAGCCGCACCCGGAAAGGCCTATACCAACCCCTACCCCCTACCCCAATCCCAACGAGAACCCTCGACAGAGGCCAAGAGGCTCCAACTAGAAGGAAACCCCATCTCAAATCCCAGGAGACAGGGAAATTGGGGAGAGGAGTTGGCATCGGCCTCAATCCAGTGCACCGGAGGTTCGAGGGATGGGACCCACCGCCTCGCTCTTACCGTCAGAGAGCCGCCCGAAGACACCACCGCAGCCGCAGGACGAGGGAAAGCGTCGCGCCGGAGAAGACGAACCCTTCAGAGGACAAAAAGGCGGAGGCCACGCACAAGCCGGTCATCTCTGCGAGCCATCGAAGCTCCGACTGCAAAGAGGCAGCATAAATTGGACGACGACTAAGTTTTCTGAGGGAGGATTAGGGTAAAATTGGAGAGAAAGAAGTTAAGTGTTCTATGCTATGTGCTGAAAATTGTTTTGGGATGGTTATTTTGTTGTATATATTTATATGGTTTGAGGTTGGCAGTCTCCCTGCATGTGATGAGCGCGCTTGTCAGTCTGGGGAGTTCTCTGTTGTCTCTTTATTGAAGATGGTCAAATGCATTAGTTTTGGGTTCAATCATGATACTTAGACTAAGTTTGGTATACAAATAAATAGCTTATAACTTATTTGGTTAACTTATAAGCTTCATGTATTTAAAAAGTCAAGATATCTTCTTCCAGGGTCTCTATTGGAGTTACTTCAATCTACATTAAAGTTGCTTCCGTCGACATTGCAGATGAATCGGGGTTTATTTCTCTTCGAAATCGCCCGATGAACACGGTCGAAGCGTTTCTCTGCAGATTCTTCAAATTGCAGTTGCTTTTGTTTGCCGAATTGATTAAAAACAAGAATTAACCCTAATTAAACGATGAAATTGAATTGCATATTGATAAGGAATGTTGAGATTGAGAAGGAAATTTCAGAGATTCTATGTTACGAGCGTGCTGAAGATTATGTTTGATTTGTTATACTTATATGGTTGATCCTGACTTTAGATTCTATGGGCAAATCAACGACTGAGATTTGATCTCAAACACATCTTAAGAGGCCGATTCATTTGATCCACCTCTCTCTCTCTTAGTTAAACTTAATATTTGTTTTTGTACATGAAATTATCAGTGTATTTTTTTTTTCTCTCTTTTTTTTTTAAGGAGAATAAATAGTTTTCTAACTTCCCTAAGTGAATAGTCTTACCATCAAACTTTCTGTATTATTTTAGGGAAACTTATATACACTTCACCTTTCTAAGCTCAATTCATAGCTTTTCCTCACTTTGCCTCGATTCCTCCTCGAAGACGTATAAAAATTAATAGCTTCAAGCTCACGGAGTTCCTGTCTCTTCAGATTTAAGTATTACCCCGAAACTTTCCCTGGATCTGAACACCATTTCTTTTTTCCCTTTTTCGTTTTGGACAAATGCAGAACAAATCCTACGGAATTTTATGCGTGTGATATCGATTTACATGGAGAGATTGTGTGCTGTTAATGCCGTCTGCTTAGCAAAATTCCCCAAGATCAACTGAAATGAGTGGCAAGTGAAGTCAGAGGAGCACACCGATGATGCGCAGGTCAAGCTGGCCGCCGAAGCTCCATTACCGGTGGAAGAGGAAGCTGCTTGCGGTGCTATTGGCCGCATCTTGTTTCGCGACCTTTGCCTTATTCGAATCGCTGCGCAGCAGAATACATACCGTGAGTGTAACATATCCGCCATTGATTAGGAAGCCCAAGGTAGCTTTCCTTTTCATCGCCAGGAATCGGATCCCGCTTGATGTCGCGTGGGATGTTTTTTTTCGGGTAATCTATCTCTTTTAACATTTTCATTTTTCGCTTATATTTTTGTATCTGTATTTTTCTCAGTCATTTATTGCTTGTTTACTTATTTTGTATTTGAGCCTAATTTGGTTTTTTTTTTTGCCCTCTTTCTATCCTGTTTTTGGTGCATTGTTTGTTTTTGAGTATTTTGACTGAGATGGACATTGCTTGTATTTGGTGATATTATTGGCATCTGATTAGTGCATTGTTGTATTTACCAAAAATAGCTCTTGGATGTGAACAATTTTTTATTTTTGAAGTATGATCTCAGGGAGATTATAGTTTGTTTTTTCTTAATTCCCAATCGTGGCATTGCACTTGCGACGATGCG